AGCACCGAGATGTCCAGGATGTCAAAGGGCTTCTTCCCTACCCACTCTTCCTGTCCTTCTGTGACTGACTTATTTCATTTAGCATAATGGCTTCCCTTTTGAACGCTAATACATAAACAACATTGTTCACTGCTAAGAGTATGAATAAAGAAACATACATTGTTTTACACCTGCATAGCCTTTTCTGCTCTGCAGCAGTTCCAGAACAGGCTTGTAGGCCCCATCTCAAAGGATAGCTTTACGTCTGTCTACCAGAGTCAGGACCTGATGTTTAAATTGGTATTCCTAAGGCATTTTAAGTGTCAGAGAGCAGTAATTCAGCTTTTCTCCAGGGACAAACCTTTTCAGCTATTTGCTCTGCAGTGACACCTCATGTAACAGCTGTGTCTTTCTAACTTGTGCTGTTAAACTTGGTGACACAGGCAGTCCGACCCTGACCTGCTCTCAGCCACATCTTTCCTCTCACTGTAACTCTAGTTAGATATCCCATGTGGCTATCCCTACTGTGTTCTCTAGCATGACTTAGTCCTTCCCTGCATTTTGAGCAAGTGTGGTGGGAGATGAATGTTTTCCCACAGCCTCTGTCCACATTTAGGGTAAGGCTGGAGAGCAGCAAAAACAGATGCAGACCTGTGACTTTGTGCGCTAACTTGCAGGTGACCTTATGGAAAGAGTCGGTGGATGGACAGTGGGTGTGCATCAGCGATGTCAACAAGGGCCAGGGTTCCGTGTCCACCTCCATCACAGAGGGTCAACAGAATGAGCAGTGACAACACAGGCGGCCTGGTCTTCTTTTGTTTCCAGGACTGCTTATTCTAGAGCAACATCCAAACAACTGGGAAGAAGGGTCCCAATGCTACCAAGATTCCACACCCAGGAGTGCCCACAGATGGAACACTGGGTGCTCACTCACCTGCCTTACTGGGATTCCATATTTAGTAACTTAATGTCCAGCTGAAGGTATTCATGTCAGGAACAAATGACTATTATTTTTAAATATTTTTGGCCATTTTTAACTATCTTTTGGTTCAAGCTGTTTCAAAGCTAATAAAATCATATTGCATAGAAACTACTGTGTCACCCACACAGTGCATCTGCCCAAACTGGGCTACTGTGAGTACCTGTGTAAGCCAGGCCTGCAAGGTCAGTAGCCCCCCTCTGGGTACATTTACTCCATGGGATGGGACTGATGAACTTCTGCCCTGAAGAATGGGTATGAGATGCTAAAACATGTAGAGAGGTGATCAACCAATTGTCAGACAAGGAATGTTAACCCAAGCATTCAAACATAAAGCTATGCTGGGAAACCATAGTTCCGGTCCTAGAACCTTGAGCCTCACCTGAACCTGGTGCTTTAGGTTAAGCCTTCACACTGTATTTCAGGTAAGCAATATGGCAGAGGAGATAGACCTACCCACTTGGCTAAGGAGAAAGCCAGAATTAGAGTTTATCCACTGCAGAGCCAGGGGGGTGTTATTCCTCAGCCACTGTGTGTGCTTGCGGCAAACCTTTACATGGATACCAAGGCAGCAGCTTTAGCCAGTCACCTCAGGAGAGCTGCAGGGCCCCCACCCGCCATCTATCCTTTTACTTTTTATAAGCCAAGCCTATTGTTTTGCCAAAACATGTTAAGGAGTGAAACTGAAGTGAGGAGATGCCAGTACCTGCCCACACACCTCCCAAGTCACTCCACAGAACCCTAGCCCTCTGGAAACTGCATGAAAAACGCAGTTCCTTTCTTCTATGATATGTAAGAGAGAAAGGCTGAAAAGGATCTTTCTTATGCTGCTCAGATCATAGAGAATGCATGGAAGTCTGTCAGCCTAAGGACAAGCCTGGCTTCCTATGCTGCTTGATGCTCTCAGAGAAACAGACTATGACACATCATAGCAGCCAGGGGCTCTTTGTAGCTTATGCCTCTGGTAGACCACGACCTTATGGTGATGCACAGATTAATAGATATGGGTTAAACTAAGATGTAAGAGTTAGCAAATAAGAAGCTAGAACTAATGGGCCAAGCAGTGATTTAATTAATACAGTTTCTGTGTGGTCATTTTGGGTCTAAGCAGAGTAGAACTAGTTGGGGAAAACTAAACTGAATGCTGGGAGAAAGAAGGTGGAGTCAGGAGAAGCCATGTACCCCCGCCAAAAACAGATGCCGGAACTTTACCCAGTAAGCCAAAGCCTGGTGGCAATACACTGATTAATGGAGATGGGTTAACTTAAGATATGAGTTAGCCAGAAATACACTTAAGCTATTGGCCAAACAGTATTGCAAATAATATGGTTTCTGTGTGATTATTTCAGGGCTGAACAGCCAGGAACAAACAAGCGGCCTTCTACAATACCCACATGTACACATAGGGCTAGGCCTACAAACTCATATATACCACACACAAAAGAACAATTTTAACAATAAACTGTAATAAAACTTACTTGAAATATGTTAAGTCATGTCTCTGCCATATATCTAGGCCCACACTTCCTGGAATATGAGGCAAGAACATCACTTTAACCCAAGAATTTGAAGCCAGCCTACATATAGTACAGCCAAGCCTTATCTCAAAACAAGAGGGGGAAAAAAGTAAATTACAGATAACCATACATATGAATAGCTTATTTCTAGACTTTCCCAAGTACTATTTCCAGATCATAGTTGACCCTAATTCAACCTCTACAAAGTAAAACTGCAAAGGGGGACTCCTTAACAATATAAATATTGATACAGTTTACGTTTTATTTTTCATTTTCTAAGATTTTTTTGTTTTATTTTTAAATTACATGTATATGTATGTGTCTGTGTTTGGGTATGTGCCCATGAACACAAGCACTGACAGAGGCCAGAATGGGCACTGGATCCCCCGGAGCTGGAGTTACCCATGAGAAATGCTCTAGCCTAATTTTTGTTTGCTTGGTTTTGTTTTTCAAGACAAGGTTTCTCTAGAGCTTTAGAGCCTGTCTTGGAACTAGGTTTTATAGACTAGGCTGGCCTCAAACTCAGAGATCTGCCTGCCTCTGCCTCCCGAGTGCTGGGATTAAAGGCGTGTGCCACCACCCAGTGTAGTATTTTTCCTTTTAAAAGTAGGTATTTTTCTGGGCTTGCAAGATGGATCAGCACGTTAAGGCACTTGCTGCCAAATCTTACAACATGAGTTTTTTTTTTTTACCTGCGTCTCATCAGTGGAAAGAGAAAAACAATTCTCATATGCAACAGTCCTCTAACCTCCACATGCTGCAGCACATGTATGCTAACACATGTAAACACACACACACAAATCCTTAAATTTTGAATATCTAATCTCAGTACTGAGAGAGGCCCCAGGACAATACACCTGATACACTCTCAAAACTGGTTCCCAAGCAGCAGATTACTTAGTGGAGAGAGGGGGAGAAAAAAAAGCCCGAGGATCTGAATGTAGATCCCCAGTGGTTCCATAAAAGCTGTGCAGGTGTGACAGGCCACCTGAAATCCTAATGCCCAGGATGTGTGGCCAGGGTAGGGTCATATATTATAAGGCCCGTATTTCTACTTCATATGGCAGTCAAGAGTTTCAGGCCAGTTTGCACCTGCTACACAGGAGGTGGTCACCTAGCCTTCCACACTGACGCTGTCCAAACAAAGGGTCAGGATATGCTATTGTTCTGCTCCTTCTTTGTACTTTGGACAACGCCTGGGATAGAGATGTTAATTCAGCCTACGAGACAGAGCTGGCACACAGAGCAGGAAGATAGGAAGATGTAACAGAGCAGGCATAGATAGGTGTGGACGTGACCTCAGACATTCCTCTAGTCACCTAGGAAACAGAATGCTAATAAACTTCCCCCTCAGTTTATGTTCTGGTATAAAAGCTGTTTGGAGAATAAACACAGGTGAGAAATTTTCAGGAAGTCAATTCAGGACTTCATGAGGGAATCACTGAAAAACTCCCTCCCGATAAAAGGATGTGAGTTGTGTATTTATTCCCACGCCTGCCCACTAGTCTGAGAAATAATTTATGGTCCAGGTTGCACTGGACCCCGACAGGTCAGAAGACCCCTAACAAGCTGGCCAGCTAGACAAACTGAATTGGCAAGTTCTCAATTCAGTGAGAGAGACTGCCTCAGTAAATAACTAGAGAGCAATTAAGGAAGCACCTAATGTTAACCTCTGACTTCCACCAGCATGTGTACACAGTACATGTAAAGGGGTGTGTGAACTTGCATGCACACAACAGGGCCCACTAATGGAGACCAATGCTTCTTAGGCACATGTTTGATTTTGGGTCTGAGGAGGAAGTGGACACAATATACTTAAGGGATCTCAATGAAATAGAAAATTATTTAAAACCGGGCCCATTTCAAAACCCAATCCTAGCTAGTCAGTTGAAAAACCATTGGATAGGATGAATAAATTCACTGAAAAGACACATGTAATTTGTGAGTTCATGTTAAAAAAAAAAAAAATGAGTCAACCCTAACTTCTAAAATGAGTAAAGAAATAGAAACCCGGGGCTGGAGAGATGGCTCAGTGGTTAAGAGCACTGACTGCTCTTCCAGAGGATCTGGGTTCAATTCCCAGCACCCACATGGCTGCTCACAACTGTCTGAAGATCCAGTTGCAGGGGATCTGACATCTTCACACCAATGCACATAAAATAAAGTTAAATAAACCATAAAAATATTTAAAAAAAAAAAAAGAAATAGGAACCCAAGTAATGATCTTGCCTTCTCTGTGCAAACTGTATATGCACTCAGAAGGCAAGTTATGTCTGGACTAGGCAGTTATCTGTGGTAGTTAGACCCATTCAGTAAAAAGTCTTGGGGAACTTGAACAATGTTCAGTGACACTGCCAAAGCCCTTAGATAAATCTTGTTCTTAAAACATCACAAAAAGCCGGGGGGGGGGGGGGGGACGGACAGCCGGGCGGTAGTGGTACACGCCTTTAATCCCAGCACTCCAGCACTCGGGAGGCAGAGGCAGGCAGATCTCTGTGAGTTCTAAGTCAGTTTGGTCTACAAGAGCCAGTTCCAGGACAGTCTCCAAGGCTACAGAGAAACCCTGTCTCGAAAAACAAACAACAACAAAAAATTAACAAAAAGAGTGCTGGAGAGGCAGCTTACTGGTTAAGAGCATCATATAGCTCTTCCAAAGGACAAGAGTTCAGTTCACAACTGCCTGTAACTCCAGTTCTAAGGGAATCTAATACTTCTACCTTCCACAGCCTATGGTTTTCATATGGAGGCCATCACTACAGCGGGTGTCGAGAATACTGAGACACCTGCTTCCAGGAGAGAACAGTCTGGCCCCATTCTTGGAGCTGCCGCATTGGTTTTGGTCACAATCAAACAATGGAAATGGGGCTCATCAGTTAAGATCACTGACTGTTCTTTCTAGAGATCTTGAGTCCAATTCCCAGCACCCACATTTTGGTTCACAACAGTTTATAACTAGTCTCATGAGATTCAATGACCTCTTCTGGTGTACAGACATACATGCAGACAAAATACCCACATACATAAATAAATCCTTAAAAGTCAGGGTGCAGGGATGTTGTAGGGAAGCCACTTGTCCTTCCTGGAGTCATACAGTCTTCCCCAAGCTCCTGTTGCTAGGATGGAGGTGAATTTCCTGGCCCCTGCCCTCTTCCACAGCTGTGCCTTCTCCCTCCATACTTCTTCCATCACCAGACCTTCCTCCCTGCTAACCTACACTCTGGATGCCAAGGTATGTCACTAGAGGGGACCAGCTCTCTCCCTAGATAGCCAACAACTTGTGTTTGCTCACTTGTAGCCTTATCTAAAATCAACACCAGCACCTCCTGCCTCCAAAGGCTTCCAGGGGCCGAGTGGACAAGCCTCATATCTCAGCCAATGCCCGGTCACCATGCATAAGCTTTCTGTCCTCACGGATTGGAAGGTTGCAGGTATTTCCTCCATCTTCAGCCCCTCTGGGCCCCAGCACCAAATGATTTCTAAGTTCAGGTGGGTGACAGGGCTATGAAGGTGTCTGGTAATAAAGTTATGTTGGGCTAGGACTAAACATAGGATTTCAGATACCCCTGCCAGATGGTCTTTTTCTCAGAGGAGGTGCAACCCAGACCATGCTTCACCTGTCCCTAGAGTTCCCACAAGGGCCCAATCCTCTCAAGACTACCTAAGAGGTCAGGATGTCATGGGGCCCTGAATCATCTGTTCTGCTATCAACGCCCCCCCTAACTGGTCATCCACTCAGAGCAGCCCTATTGAGGCAATGTCACCATCACTGTGGCAGCAGGGACAGCAGAGCAGTGCTGCAGGAGCTAGAAGTCTGCTCACTGCAGGTACATCGACAGGCCCCAGTCCTCAGGCCATCCTATTTTTATTTTTTTTTTCTTTCCTTCTTTCTTTTTTTCTTTTTTTGTTTTTGTTTTTGTTGTTGTTCTGTTTTCCGAGACAAGGTTTTTCTGTGTAGACTTGGTTATTCTGGAGGAACTCACTACATAGATCAGGCTGGCCTTGAATTCAGAGATCTACTTGCCTCCCCTTCCCTAGTGCTGGGATCTTAAGAGCATTACAGAAGAGTATCCAACTACATAAAGTCCTCTAGAAGTGGCAAGTCATAGAGCCAATAGAATTTGGCATATGTGTGTCACAACCATAGGCATGGTTCAGCAAAGCTGCCTCCTGCAGGCCACATTATCAGTTATAAAGTAGTCCCAATCCTACCCTGTCACTTGGTCTTCAAAAAGCTAGCAGGCAAGGGGAGGGGATCCTTGTGGGAAAGTTTCTAAGAACTGCCCCATTAAAGTTATACTGCAGGACTCCTAACACCGGGTCCATCCCATCTGCTCCTCCACATGGGCATCCCTTGTCCTAGGGCCTTGATACCTGCCAGAGGACGGAGAGGCAAGCTGCCAGGTCAGCAAACACCAGACTGAACTGGGGTATGGCTCAGTGAAAAATGTCTACCAAATACAAGGCTCCGGGAACTATGCCTAACAGTCTAAAACAAAAACCATCAGTAAGACCAAACAGTCACCTTTTACCATACAGAAGACCAATAAAGCATGGCTACCAGGTGAGCGTCCCCCACACTCGCTCCCTAAGGAAGACAGTTCAGCCCTTCTTGGGAAACACCCCAGAAGCGAGCATCTATGTGATCTTGTGAAGACAATGGCTCAGTGGCAGGGCAAAGCTAAACAAAATCTTAAAGCTCTCCTGATGGCAACACCAACTCATATGGAAGGGGGCAAGCCACGGTCATACAACTAAGCCAGACCTCAGAGCTCCTAATCTGCCAAAACGCTCTACCAGGGCCAAGCCCACATGGATACCATGGAGATGTCAGAAGCTGGTGCCCCACCAGAAGCCAACTGGATACCGCTGAGGACACCTGACTACCACTGTTGTTCTTCAACAGTGGAGAGAAGAGTATTTAGTTCCCATGGAATGCAATACTGCCCACGCAAAGTAGACAGCCTCACAGATGAGGGTGCTGGATCCAAACAAACAAAGGCTTCCTATATAAGGAGCAGCCAGGCAGCAGGCACCACAACCCCAGGCATTCCAGGTAGGCTCTCTCTGCTGTGTGTTTGTGTGTCTGTGTATGTGTGCTCACAGAGGTCTAAATTTCTCACTACTGGCCATTCACTTACTTTCTCTGAGTGTCAGTGAGCTCAACGAACAAAGGGGACAGTGGCCAACCTGTCTGGCTGCCGAGACAAAGCTGAATAAAGAACTAATGAGCTCCATCAGGTTTCTGAGGGCTTAGGACAAGCACACTGGGATGGACGCCGTAGCCTTCCAGCACACCATGCGCTGCCTCAACAGTTTAGAAAAGGCAGAACTCAGTCTTCTTCTCTCCCAGCCTTTTAAGATGGGGACGAGAGAGCCTTGCTTCACTCAGCTGTCCCCACTGCAGGTTCTGCCACTCTTCCTTCTAGAAGTTTACTGGGTTCCAACCCGAAAAAAATCTAAGACATATCACGCAGATGAGTTATGCTAACAGAAGACCCTCTCTTCCCAGGGCCATCTGTCCCCACCACCAAAGCTATGCTGTCTTCAGGGACCATCTGCAGTCTGCTACTCCTCAGTGTTCTCTGGATGGATGTGGCCATGGCGGGCTCCAGCTTCCTTAGCCCAGAGCATCAGAAGGCCCAGGTAAGTCTGTCTCAACAAGCCCCATACTCATCCTGACCTTGGAACTGTTCCAGCCCTATGACCAGCAGCAGGGCCTCCATCTCTCTGGGCTTCAAACATTCTCAGAGCATAAAGGTGGCCTTTGGATGTGACCCAATTCTGCTTTCAGAAGGAAATACAGATTGAAGACCCTAAAGAGAAAAACTCATCCAAGCATGGTAGTGCCCACTGTAATTCGAACAATGGGAGATGAAGGCAGACAAGTGTCAAGTTCAAGGCCAGCCTGAGCTACATGGCTTTAGGGAGACTCTTATCTTAAAAAAACTAAAACTAATTTTAAATTTTAAGAAAAATAAAGAGACCTTTTCTTTTCTAGCAAAGAAAAGAATCAAAGAAGCCACCGGCGAAACTGCAGCCACGATCTCTGGAAGGCTGGCTCCAGCCAGAGGGCAGAGGACAGGCAGACGGGACAGAGGAGGAACTGGAGATCAGGGTTGGTACCCAGGCACCAGTAGGTTCTTGTAGCAGTAAAGGGAGTTGGGAGGAGGGGAGTATAAGCTAAACACACATGGCTTTCCAAGCTATTCAAGAATTAGAGCCCAGCAACAACAGCTCCACAAGGTGTTCAGGATCTCTGGCTCAAGAACAGAATGTCAGTAACAGAATGTTACTATGCTGCAAGGGTAGCAAGGGAGCAGTCACCAACAACAAAGATATCAGCAGATTCCAGGGCATCACAAAGAGCCAGGAAGCACAGATGGAGAAACAGAGACAGGAGGAGGCCTGCCTATCCAGGGTTCTCTCAGGCCTGCCCTGGTTATGGAGAGGTGGGTGGGCTGCTAGTGCAGGCTGGCTAGCTCACACACCTGCAGCCTAATGGGTGGGAGTCAGTTTTGCTCTGAAAAATTTTACATGGCATAAGGAAAAACCATAAGGAAAAGTCCAAAGATTGGGAGAAGGGAATAAAGGAACCCATAGGTCCCTCTCAGCAGTTCACCTCGGATTCCCCTGGGAACCATTAAGTAGTACTTGGCAATGCCAGACCCTATACTGTGTGTCTACATGCAATTTCATCTTCAAACATGGCAACCATGATTAACTGGGCAGCAGGGAGCACAACCTAGGGCTTCACAATTGCTAGGCATGTGCTTTGCCAAGGCTACATCCCCAGCCCTGTTCTACTGTTTTCTTGAATCACTTACTCTCTACAAAACTTTGTAAGCTAAGCAAGGCTGGCATCATTTGCTAAATTCTGTAGATAAGAAACACAAACTGAAAGGTGAATTCACTTACCCAAGGCTATCAAGCCAGGGTTTTCCTCCCCCGGTCCTCCTCTCTGGTCAAGGGCAAATGCCAGTATCCTCAAACTCCTGATCTCTGATCCTCTCTGGAGCCAGAGTGTCCTCTCAAACCCTTGCTTCACAGGAAGCATGACCTTTAAAACTAACTCCTCTTTCTCCTCAAGGACGTCACTAAAATGGCATGGACAGTCTTGAAACAACCAGGTCCATACTTGGCAGGTGGCTACCCCAGTCATAAGAACCCTACACTTAGTTCTTATAGGGAAGAAATCTTAGCACAGATTCAGGATTAACATTTCCTAGCTCCTTGATCCTCACCAGGAGCCAGACATCTGGCCTACACAGCAACATAGGCACAAAGAGACAGAGAGGTCTGTAGCAAGCTAGGCACAGAGTATGACCACTGCCTACCCTCCTATTTGAGGCTCCATCTCTCAAAGGTTTTTTCCCCAAAATCAGGTCTGTAGACAGAATGCCAACTACCTCCACCCCACTAAATAGATGGACCCTGAATCAAGAAGAAGGAGGTTTTCCATGTTGCGTGAAAACCAAATGCTGCCACCTCTCACACGCCTCTATCAGTCCTAAGGGTGTCAGCCCTGGCAGTACCCCTAAAGGGTGTGTGGTTTTCTTCTGTGATGGTTAGATCATCTGACCAGCTTGCACAGACAATGGAGTTTGAGAAGAAAAACTAGCAGTTGCTAAGGAGAAAGCTAGAAGGGCCATAGGTCCGTAAGTCACAGCACTCCCCATCCATGCTGCTCCCCTTTCACAGTTCCTGCAAGTCAAACCACCTGAGAAACAGGCACCATCCACCTGGTGACTAGCAGCCTCAGCAAGGACTTGGGGCTAGGCAGAGTTCAGAGTCCTGCTTTCTAAATCCTTGGATATCACCTCCATCTGTGACACAGGGAGGTCATTCAGACTCTCTGAGCTTCCACCCTAAGGACAGGGAGAGTACCAGACCAGTTAGCACTCCTCTCTGGCTCTAAGATTACGTTCACAGACCACTCAGATACCCAGATGGCCAACATGGCCAGGCCTCCCTGGGGAGAGGTGGGTGTTCAGGGCATGGCAGGCAGGATGAGACTCAGATGCTCCCAATCCTACCTCCTAGTTCAACGCTCCTTTCGATGTTGGTATCAAGCTGTCAGGAGCTCAGTACCAACAGCACGGCCGGGCCCTGGGGAAGTTTCTTCAGGACATCCTCTGGGAAGAAGTCAAAGGTGAGTCAATCTGAAATGGAGCTTAACCTGTTTTATGAGTGACAAATTTTCTTTCCTAACCCTACTGTCAAGCTTCTAATCTTCCTCACTACCTGTGGAAAGGGTGCTGAGCTGGTATGTGTGGCAGCCCAGGAGGGCTGGAGCACCAGGTCCATCTTCAGCAGCCCTGTGTATCAGAAACCAGTGTGTTAGCTGATGGGCCACCTGAGCCTCAGTTCTTTAACTGTGAGGTAGTGCTGATACCTATCACTAGCACTTCACATTATCTGGCTTTGAAATATTTCACAATGTAACTTCATGAAGGGAATCTGCCACAGTGGCACTGAAAATGCTAGGAGACGCATATCTTAAGTTTTGGTTTTGGCTTGTTTGTTTTCCGTTTTTTAGAGACAGGGTTTCTCTGTGTAACAGCCCTGGCTGTCCCGAAACTCAGAAATCCACCCACCTTAACCTCTTAAGCGCTGGGATTAAAGGCGTGTGCTAACATGCCCAGCTATATCTTAGGCTTTTTGTGTGGTGATGGGGTGAAATCCAAGGTCTAGTACATACTAGACAAGCACACTACCACCGAGCTGCATCCCTGTTTTCAGTACCCTCTTACTTTGTGAAAAAATACCCAACTTCTCCATGGCTGAGAAAACCAAATTTCAAGAACAAGCTACATTCTCTCCCTAAGCACTTTCTTACAAATATGGCAATCACATATCTCACCATACAGATGAGGAAAGCAAGATCTGGGGATAAAAGGACACTTACCCAAGAGCACAAAGTCTACAAATGCCATCTTCCAAGTCCAACAATCCCCACCGCCATCACCACACACTTGCTCCCAGCACACCATGGAAAGCAAATTTGATGACCCGAGCAAGATGGTGAACCTGAAGACTGACTTGACCTCTTGCTTTTCAGAAGCACCAGCTGACAAGTGACTGGAGACAAGACCCACCGCTGTGATTTCCTCCTGAGTAAGAACTCACATCCAGCCTTATGTTCCTCTGCAACTCCTGGCACTCTCCTACTGCCATAAGAATAAAAGCTCAAGCTGTGCACTAAATGCTCAAAATATTGTTTTTTCATCCACATGGTAAAGTTCACATTTTACTTAAAAATTATTGAAACAATGCTTAAAGTTTATGACCCATGAGAAAAGGAAAAACAAAAACAAAACATAAGGGCAGGAGCATGCTTGAAAACCAAAGGAAACCTTGCTCATTCCAGCAGTAAAACAGGAAGAATGTAAGACAGAAGGTTCTAAAGGTGGGGTTTGGAGGCCACAAACACAGCAGAGCTTCCTGAGTAATTAAGAGCTACACTAGGGGCTTCAAAAGAGCCACCAAGTGGCTACATTCATAAAGATATCAGTTGACAGTATCAGAATCAACACACTCAAGAACTGTCTGGGGTGATCAGAATGGGTGTGTGGCAATGGCTCTCGACCATACCATACCAGGCTAAGTAACCACATTCTCTCTTCAACTTCTGGAGAAATCTCACAAACCAAATGTTCCATGTGCTCAAGGCTGGCCACCACCTGATACTAGGCAGATGTCCAAAATAGTCCCCAAACTCAAGCTCACAGCTCTTGATCCCCACATCCTACCACTGTAATTCCAGTTGGGACACTAAGAATATTACACCTAATGCAAATCTTTAGACCATGTCCCAAAGCCCAGTGATATTGGATGAGAGCCATAACTAAAGCAGGAACCCAGCGACAAGCTCTGAATTCCTTGTGCAGTCCAGTGAGCACTTAGGATAAATAGGGAGGAGATCCGGTGTTGCCCAGCCAAGGCAACACTGCTGCAGCAGGCACCGTGGACCTCTCAAGGGAAGCCTTTGCCACCCAGAACCCAAGGCATGAGACAACCAGGGATGAGCACACTTGGCAGGCACTCTGAAATCTAAGCACATCCCTGCCAAGGAGCTGTGATGCTTCTCACCACTGCCACCTGGAAACTCCTTACAAATGAACGTTCAACCCCACTCCAGTCCTTCTTCACAGAATACTGAAGCCCCCAAGCAGCCAGGCATGGTAGCTCACGCCTTTCATCCCAGCACTCAGGAGGCAAAGGCAGGCAGATCTCTGTGAGTGTAAAGCCAGGCTGGTCTACAGAGCGAGTTCCAGGACAATCAGGACTGCACAGAGAAACCCTGATTCAAAAATACAAAGAACAAAACAATAAGAAAGCTCCCAAGCTATGACTTGCTTAGAAGTCCCAGGATCCTGTTCAAAGCACAGCACACAAAGCCAGGTGGCTGTGGGGTCCTTGGCAAACCTGGAAACGAGACACACAGATGTCCACTGTGCTGCTCAGTTATTGCCAACTTGACACAAGCTATTAATCATCTGGGAAGAAGGACCTCACTGAGAAAATGCCTCCATCAGATTTCTGGTTAAGCAAGTTTGTGGGGCATATTTTTTGGTTAATGATTAATATGGGAAGGCTCATCCCACTTTAAGAAGTGCCACCCCTAGGCAGGTGGTCGTGTGTTATAAGAAAGCAGGCCGCACAAGCAAGAATAAACAAGCTAGTAAGCAGTATTCCTCCATGGCCTCTACCTGAGTTCCTGTCCTGGCTCTCTCAGCGGTAGACCATAACCTGTGAGCTAAAATAAGCGCCTCCCCGCCACCCTTTGCTTTGGTCAAAGTGTTATATTCTAGCAATAGCAAAACTAATGCATTCAGCTTCTCTCATTTTCCCTCCCCTGTCCTTGCAACACTCACTAGTATCAATTAGGTCTACCCCTAAGATATGCAACAGCACCAACACCCTGCGCCCTTTCTACCAACAGCACCTGTGTCTGGACCTCAGAACAGCACAGGCTAGTGCAGGACAATTGTCTACATTCTGACAATTATGCTTTAAATAAATGCTGATTGGCCAGTAGCCAGACAGGAAGTAGAGGCAGGTCAAGAAGAACAGGAGAATTCTGGGAAGAGGGAAGCTCTGTCTGCAGTCCTGTCCAGACACAGAAGAAACAAGCTGTGACTACACCACTGAAAAAGGTACTGAGACATGTGGCTAACACAGATGAGAATAATGGGCTAATGTAAGTTATAAGAGTTAATAAGAAGTCTGAGATAATGGGCCAGTCAGTTTATGATTAATGTAGACCTCTGTGTGATTTCTTTGGGACTTAAAGACTGCGGGAACCGGGTAGGACAGAAAACTCAGACAACACAGGCGGATGATTTTTGTCACAAGTAACCACTGTAACATACTGGAGAGCAGAAATAAAGGAAAAGAGACTTAGCAAATGGAGAAAAAGAACGTGAATGGAACAATTTTTCACAAGATGCTTCTCTTACTAAAAATGACTACTTACTTCTCTTTGTCCTGCCTGTGCCCTGTAGTCATTTCCTTCAAAAAGCAGATGCTGAGCACACTCTGGCCAAACACTACCTACACCAGGCGGTTCAGTGTGGACATGGGATGAATATGAATACCAGCTGTACAATCCAGCTCCTGGCTCCTCCCTGCCAAGGTCACTGCAAAACTTAACCCAGCATCTGGCACAAGGGTGCCTGAAGAACAAACACAAAATTACCCTAATAGCTACCATGCCATGATCCTATTGTGCACATTCAAACAGATGAGTTTAATATCTGTTCATTTTCACAGCAAGTCTACTTTTGAGAGAACTCAGCTAAATAAAGTAACTCTCCCAAAGTCACACAACAAATACCTGAAAAGACCCAGAGCCAGTCTCGGACTTGAGGCATGTTGCTTTTCCATCTTAACTCTGCTCCACTGGCCCAACTGCCAGGGATTCAGGGTTTCATAAGGGTTTTCAGTGCTGGGGTAAACCCAGGGCCTATATATGCTACACAATCACTCTACCAGGGAGGTATGCCCCCCTCCTTTTGTTTTCCATTTTCCTTGACAATTCATCACGAGAACCTGACCGGAAAAGGACAGCTTCAAGTTAACAACTGGCAGAAATGTACTCAAGCACATGGTTAGTGTACACAGTACAAGAAAACACATCTTTCTAAACATGCTCCCACATCCATTTTCTTCTTTTTCTCTGTTCATGGTTGTTTCCTTGCTAAGTCACCATGGCTGATGACTCTGAACTGTCAACCCTCTTGTCTCTGCCTTCCAAATGCTGGGACTGCAAGCACATACCAGTGTCCAGGTCCCTAGCTTAGTTTTTTTTTTTTTTCTTTTTTGGGGGGTACAGGTTTCAAGACAGGGTTTTTCTGTGTAGTCCTGGCTGTCCTGGCACTCATTCTGTAGACCAGGCTGGCCTTGAACTCAGAGATCGACCTGCTTCTGCCTCCTGAGTGCTGGGATTAAAGGTGTGCATCACCACCACTGGGCTAGGTCAGTTTTCTTAAGCCCACTCCATCTATTACTTAATGATTCCACTAACTTAAGAATCCCTGAAGTAGACAGCCTGTATCTCCAGAAGGAACATGGTAATTTCAAGAGGAAAAAAATTCTACTTTAAGAGAAAACTGCTTTATAATTAACATACCATATACTTAAAGCTACATGCTCAAAAAGTCTAACAAGCACCAAAGGAGAGGACAAACACACACACAACAGCCTCCCTCCTTCAATCTGAACACTCAAACACCAGAGATAAACAGCCAAAGACCAATTATCATCCCTGACAGTTTGTCTTGATACATGCCAGCAGCCAGTTGCCCTTACAAAACAAAATCAAAGTGCTGAGATTAAATGGTTTAAGTATCAAGCCCCTAAAAACCAATGCAAAATGCAGAAGAGCTGTAGAAGAAAGGAACAACAACCAGAACCAGACAGGAAGACAAAGCCAGGAAACTTGATACAAATTTGTGATCTATACTCCATGACAATCACCTGACTATGTGTGCAGAAACAGGGAGAAGGGAACCTGCCTATCTCGTATATGGCCTTTATTTTCAGCTTAAGTTCAAGGACAGCTCAGCACAGGCTAAGGTACAGTTCTATGGTAGAGAACTTGTTTATTAGCACAAGCAAGGAAAGGTCTAGGTCAATCCTAACAGCAAACCCAGGAAAGCCCCCACAAAGAAATACCTTAATAAGGACTGAAGATATAATTCAGTGGTTAAAGTACACTGGTTGCACTTTCAGAGGATCTGGCTCAATTTCTAGCACCAACATGGTAGCTGAGTCCCAGGAGATCCAATACCCTCTTCTGGCCTTTACAGGCACCAGGCACACATGTGGTACACAGGAATACATGCAGGCAAAACATCCATACAGATAAAATAAAAATTTTAAATACCATAAAATGACTGACTATAGATAGTCAAACAGTTCTCCCCAGTTTTCCTGGAAACAGAGTTCAGAGCCCAAAACCCACACTACAACTGACTCATCAACACCCCCATGTATAACACTGCTTTTCTGCTGAACTATATACTCCCCAAAGGCTAAACAGCTATAGTATACCTAAGTCTGAAGGAAAGTCACAAGGACATCCCATTCTAAAGCAGCAGGCTTTTCAGACAGGACCACGTTCTCACAGTCATTTTAATCTTACAGTAAGTTGACAACATCTCCAGATATTCCCAAGTATGTTGATTTGTCAACTTGACACGAGCTAAGATACCTGGAAGAGGGAACCTCAACAGAGAAAATGCTCCCAGGAGATTAGCATGTAGGCAAGTCTATGGGTTACTTCATTAAATCATGATATGGGAGTGTCCAGCACATAGAGGGTGGTGCCACACCTGAACAGGTGGTCCCAAGTTGTACAAGGAGACAAACTACGAAAGCTATGGTAAGGCACTTAGTGTTCCTCCTGAGTTCCTGCTCTGCCCCTCCCCCACGTGATGGATTGTAACCTGCCTCCCTTGGTTGTATTTAGTCAGTGTTTCATCACAGCAATAGAAAGCAGCACATAGAACATAACATTACCAAGCTGACTGGACCAGCCTGCAGCACCACTTAGTCAATCTAGAAACACAAGGTGAGCATGGGTTGGGGAAGTGGATTAAGGACCTGTCCTTTTACTTTTAGAGAGAAGACCAAAGTCAGGGAGAGATGAGGAGGCATCTGGGCAAGGCAGTCTCCTCTAATTTGGTGTAGTGGTCAACAG